TTATCTATACTCTAGCTATCTGTCATCTTCCATTCATGTCAAAATATCAACTCTTCCATAACCGCTTTGTTAGATTTCAAACAGGCACCATCCCCATTCTACCCCTCATGCTTGAGAGGAGCTGCCCAAAAATATTTGCAAAGTCACTCCATTTTTTTCTCAAAGCTTTCCTTGGCTATGATGCCTAGAAAAAATCTGCATCATTGTTAGGTCAGAAGTGTGCTGAAACCACTGTCTATAGTGCTGACCTATTATTGTGACCTATGTTAGAGAAGTACCTTGGAGTACTAGGGATGAATTAGGACTTAATTGTGATAGACACTGTATACATACAAAACTAAAAAAAAGTCCCTGCTCCAAAGGTGTTACAGTGTAAGCATATAGGAGACAACAGATGGATACAAACAGATGTGGGAATACAGATATTATCTATTCTTTGCTTGTATTCCCTCTACCTCATATTTGGATTATAAACTCTTTAGGGCAGGCACCATCTTTCTGTTCTGTCTTGAGTTGTCCCTATCAAAATGGGGATGCTGTCTTTGACTACATCACCTGGGTGTTACCATAATACAAATAATTAATAAGCAGCTATTTTCAAGCAAGACTACCTTTAGGACCGTAGCTGCCATAGGCATACCAGAAAGTGTGTACCCTTCACAACATAGTCATGCAACTAAGCACTGTTAATATTAAACAGATAGACAGTAGATAACAAATAATAATTTATAACAATCAAAACTTGTCTCGTTTGGGGTTGTTTCATAATGTGGGTGAAATCCTGTTTACATTGAAGTCAACAGTAAAAACTATACATTTCTCAGCTTAATCACTGCTCTGCTAATGATAGTATTCTTCCCTTTGTACCCTCCCACTCTTATCACCATGCTTTCTTCCATATTACTCCCCTTTCAAAGGAGAAATGAGAGTAAAACATTCAAATAAGGGCTGAACCCATCAGTAAATCTAAAGTGGTCTGTCTAGTGCCTCCCCACTGGACCCTATGAATACACAAAAGTAAGAGCTTCCTGGTTTTCTGACTGGAATCCCTCTCCATTCTTGGGTGACAAGGACCAAAATCTGCTCCTTCAGCTCCTTTCCCAAAATGCAGCTGTGGTCAGTATAAACAATAACCACAGAAATATTTAGACTACCAGTTATAAAAATGTTAAGTACAAACCAGTGTGGCAGACTGTGCTTTGTTGCCTGAATCACAGTCTCATAGTATTCCCCTTTACATTTGTTTTAAATGTAAGAGTAAGCCTTATGTTTATCCTTGACATTATAGACTTGGGCAGAACCTAGCTGAACTGTGGGCTATATTAATTTAATAAAATGGCCTTAGCTTTGCTTAACTGACTTTACAGCTGAACTGGGTTGGTTTATTGGTTCACATACAAACTATCTAAAACATGCAATTTTCCCTAGCCCTGCAATAAAAACCTGGAGAAATTCAGTGGGTTTCACTAACTTTTGCTTCAGATGATTTGGAACAGAAATCCAAAGGGGAGGTGTCCATGCTTAGCAAAAACAACATATGGGCAGGAGGAACAAAGCAATGATCAGTCATTATTATATTATTACATAAGAACATAAGAACTGCCATTTACTGGATCATAGATTCATCTTGCCCAGTATCCTGTGTCACACAGTGGCAGAGAGTAGATACTGAAAGGGAGAATAAACTGGGTACAACCAGGGTTTTTCCTCTGTTCCTCTCCCACTTGCAGCCTCTAGCATTTAAAGTCTAGGAAGTTCTGATTCAGAGGTTGAATCCCTAACATGTTCAATAGCTACTGGTGCCCCTTCCTCCAAAACAATTTGTCCAACCCCTTTTGAATATGGCTAAACTGTCAGTGTCCACAACCTCTGGTGTCATGAGTTCCACACTGAAGTTACATGCCATGTAAAAAAGATCTTCCTTTTGTTCATTTTTAATTTACTACCTGCTCAGTTCATTTTGAGTCCTAGCTCTTATGTTGACAGTAAACAGTAAATCTCTAGTTGCTTTCTCTTTGCTTTTTAGCATTTTGTAAACCCTTATCGTGTCGTCCCCCCCCCCGCCCAAGTGTCTCTTTTATAAACTGAATAAGCCTCACCTCTTTAGTTCCTCAAATAGAGCCCTGCTCTGGTTTCAAATTAAAGCTGGGTAGAAACCAGCTATAGAGTTATTACACATTTTCAAGCACTAACTTTATAGCTGGTTGGCCCTTTTTATATCCAGATAGTCATTTTTATGGTGTGATAATTTTTGCACAGTTGGCCCATATACATTTATTGGGCACTTCACCAGTCAATTGCTAAATATATGTAAGGTGTAACAGGTACCTCACCTGGAAGCCCCTCCATGCCACTAATCCTTATGGCCCTTCCCTTTAGAAAAAGGATAGAGAGCAGTCCTGAGGAAAGGAAAGACAGAGAGCAGCAGAGTAAGGACCCTGGATTTCAGAAAAGCAGACTTTGACTCACTCAGGGAACACATGGGCAGGATCCTTGGGAAGCCAGAATGAGTGGGAGAGGAGTCCAGGAGAGCTTGCTGTACTTCAAAGAACCCTTACTGAGAGTGCAGGAACAAACCATCCCGATGTGCAGGAAGACTAGCAAGTATGGCAGAAGACCAGCTTGGCTTAGCAGAGAACTCTTCAGTAAACTAAATCACAAAAAGGAAGCTTATAAGAAGTAGAAACTTGGACAAATAACTAGGGAGGAGTTTAAGAGCACTGCTCAGGCATGCAGGGTTGAAGTTAGGAAGGCCAAAGTGCCCTTGGAATTGCAGCTAGCAAGGGATGTGAAGGGTAACAAGAAGGGTTTCTACAAGTATGTCAGTAGCAAGAGGAGGATCAGGGAAAGTGTGGATTCCTTACTGGAAGGGGGAGGCAACCTAGTGACAGAGGATGCAGAAAAGGCTGAAGTGCTCACTGCCTTTTTGCCTTAGTCTTCACAGTCAAGGTCAACTACCAGATGACTGCATGAGGCAAAACAGTTTGGGGAGAGGGTGAGCAGCCCGCACTGATGAAAGAACAGGCTAGGGACTACTTAGAAAAGCTGGATGTGTACATGTCCATGGAGCCACATGGGATGCACCCAAAGGTGCTGAGGGAGCTGGTGGATGTGATTGAAGAGCTATTGGCCATCATTTTTGAAAGCTCATGGCAGTCAGGAAAGGTCCTGGATTATTGGAAAAGGGCAAACACAGTGCCTATATTTTAAAAAGGGAAGAAGGAGGATACAGGGAAGCTGTAGTCAGCCTCACCTCAATCCCTGGAAAAATCATGGAGCAGATCCTCAAGGAATCCATTTCTAAGCACTTGGAGAAGAAGGTGATTAGGAACAGTCAGCATGGAATCACCAGGGTAAAGTCATACCTGACCAACCTAATTGCCTTCTATGATGAGATGACTGGTTCTGTTGATGTGGGAAGACCAGTGGATGCGGTGTACCTTGATTTTAGCAAGGCTTTTGATACAGTCTCCCACAGCAGTCTCACAGGCAAGCGAAGGAAGTACGGGCTGGATGAATGGATTGTAAGGTGGATAGAAAACTGGCTGGAGCATTGGGCTCAGAGAGTAGTAATCAATGGCTCAATGTCTAGTTGGCCGACAGTATCAATTGGAGTACCCCACAGGTCGGTCCTGGGGCTAGTTTTGTTCAGTGTTTTCATCAGTGACCTGAAAGATGGTATAGAGTGCACCCTCAGCAAGTCTGCAGATGACACCAGGTTGGGGGGAGTAGTAGATACGCTGGAGGGTAGAGCTAGGATTCAATGTGATTTGAACAAATTGGAGGATTGGACCAAAAGGAATTTCATGAGGTTCAACAAGGACAAGTGCAAAGTCCTGCACTTAGGACAGAACAATCCCATTGCCCTGCCCAGGCTGGGGGCTGACTGGCTGGGCAGCAGCTCTGCAGAAAAGGACCTGGGGGTTAGTGGACAATAAGCTGAAAATGATCCAGCAGTGCCCTTGTTGCCAAGAAGGCCAACGCCATACTGGGCTGCATTGGTAGGAGTGTTGCCAGTAGGTCAGGGGAAGTGATTATTCCCCTCTATTCAGCACTGCTGAGGCCACATCTGTACTACTGTGTCAAGTTTTGGGTTGCTCACTACAGAAAGGATGTGAAGAAATTGGAGAAAGTCCAGCGGAGGGCAACAAAAATGTTGAAGGGGCAGGGGGGACATGACTTATGGGGAAAGACTGGGGGAACTGGGTTTATTTAGTTCCGAGAAGAGGAGACTGAGGGGGGACTTAATAGCAGCCTTCAACAACCTGAAGGGGGGTTCGAAAAAGAATGGAGTTGGACTGTTCTCAGTGGTGGCAGATGACAGAACAAGGAGCAACAGTCTCAGTTGCAACCAGGGATGTTTACATTAGATACTTGGAGGAATTTTCTCACCAGAAGTCTGGATCAGTTTACCCAGAGCAGTCTCCATCCTCGGAGGTTTTCAAAACCCATCTGGACAAAGCTATAGCTGGGATGATGTCTTTGGGGCCAGTCCTGCTTGGAGCAGGGGGTTGGACTAGATGACTTCCTAAGGTCCCTTCCAACCCTAATTTTCTGACGTATGAATGCATTTAACTGAGGTGGCTGGAGTGTTGGTGTCACCGTGAGGAGCCAGGGGATATGCAAGAAGCCAGGAGGGGCTTTTCTATGCCCTCTTGTACCAGACTATGCAGTGGAGCAAGATGCCAGGCAGCTTCCGGTCACCACATGCCCAACCTCAGTTCTGCAAACGTAACCGCTGCTACCCCGCTCCCCCGCGGGCGGTTGGGCCAATAACCGCCACCAAGGAGCCGTTACTTTCTTCCACGCGTCCCCCAACCGCCGGCGCTTCCGCCCACTCTGCCCCCGAGGCCACGTGATGCACCCCAACTTGCCTTTCGACTCCGCTGGGAGGCGGGGGCAGTCCCTCGGAGGCGTCTCCGCCGTGCCGTGGTTGGTTGAGAGTAGGGAGCGCGAGCTTCTGATTGGCTGGGTCGTGCGTGCGGCGTGTGCGGCGCGTGGCCGGCGGGCCGGCAGGGAGTGGGGGTGCCATGGCGGGCGGAGTGGGGCGGCAGCGGTACTGGAAGCCCCAAGGTGAGCCTGGGCCTCGTTCTCTGCCCGCGGCGGGCCGAGGTCCTGGTCGGACTGAGGCGACTCCGTCGGTGGCCTGGCGGGCGTCGGGGGAAGCGGCCCGTGTAGGCGGGAAAACCCGGGCTGCAACTCTCAAAGACCTGAGCCTCCTCCTCGAGGTGGCGGCAACAGGGCTTGGGCTCTTGTTTTCGTATCGGTAGAGCCTGCCTGTGCCTCTCCTGCGATTCCGCAGGTCGCAGCCCTCCTCCTGGGCTGCCCCGCCTGCCTGCGGCTCCAGGCTGGGCCCCCCATGAAGTGCTGACACCTGCCTAGGAGGGAGCCTGAAGAAACCAGAGACTAGCTCCCGCCTTGGCATGTCTGACTGGGAATGAAGTACTGTACCTGCTTGTCTGCATGAGCTGGAAACTTTTGTGCAGAAATGGAAAGAAGTTTTGGCATGTTTCTGGCTTTTTCAGGTTTCTTCTTAGACTGTCCAGTTTGCAGGGTGCTCTGCAGCAGTGAGGATGCCAGAGTGGCTGGGACAGGACAGCAGCTGCAGGAGCTAGTTAGGGAGCAGAATCCCCTTCCAGGGTGTCTAGCATGTATCCCTGTCCCTACCTGGTGATAATGAAAGCAGTCCTGCCCACCCCTGGGTGTTTAGCATGCAGCCCTGGCCCTGGGGCTGCAGGCATGCCCTTTAGTGCCCTGCATGCAAATTGCCTGGGACTTGGAAGTGGCTGCCTGGTCTGGGACTGCTCACACATTGGGAAGTTTTAAAGGGTGTGCTGGCAGCCTTGACAATGGGAAGCAGCTCACCAGTCCCTGAGTTGCTGGCACAGACTTTAAAGTGCCTGGCCTGTGAGCAACCTGGGACTAGGAACCAGCTTCTTGCACGCACAGTACTTCAAAGGGGGCACTGGCAGCCTGGACTGGGAAGTGCCTGTTTCTTCACATAGTGACAGATTGCCCTGTCCCTGTTGTCCTTGGGCAACAATGGGAACAGGGCTGCCTGCTAGCTGCTACCGCAGCTGCTGCTTGCATGGAGACAAGGGTGAGTGAGGGAGCTCCCTGGAAGTAGTAGCAGGAGCTGATGGAGGGTTAGGTGGCACAGACCTTGTCCTTGCAGGACTACCAGGGACAGCCTTGGTTGTGTGGTGAGGCTGGGGGCACAGCTTTCATCTGTGCCACACTTAACAAGCCAGGCACCAGCTGCGCTCCCGGCTGAGCCCTCTAATTGAAGGTCTGCTCTGGGAACCAGGCAGGAGGCTTTGCCCTGCTACTCCAGTCCCCCTGGGACTGGGAGGAGTGATTCCCACTTGTTCCCTAGACTGATCCCTGGTCCAGGGAAGGTATGAAGGGCAGCGGAGAGGGGTCAGCTGCAGGCTGTATGCTTGTGCTGCTTCCTGTCCCAGAACAATTTCCAGTGCCTTTTGGCAGCCTCTATACGTGCATATGTAAAAGATGTAACCAGTTTCTAATATCTTTATAAATAATCATGTTCCCTGGTATTTGTAAATTCCCCTTTCAGAACAATCCAAGAACTCGGGTCCACCTGAAAAAACTGGAGCCCAGTCAGTTTTGCTCTTAATTTTTTGAATCTCAAGAAAGCCGCATAGCTGTGCATAAAAATTGTGTTGAAAAGTGCTAGGCTTTGGAAGACATGGATCTTTTTACTTGTTTGGTTTTGATTTTGTTGTTTTCTCTCTCCACCATTCTTTTCAAATATCTTTTTGATAAATGCTAGAAATTGTGATTTTTTTTTTTTTGATTTTTTTTTTTGGTCCTGAGTTTCCTGTTTTCTTCTTAAATAATCCTACTGTTTTTGCAAATTGGGTGGCTTTACATGGGAACTGTCACTTTAAAAAATGCTCAACTGTGAAAAATGCTGAAATTACATTTAGATACTGCTAATATTTACTGCTTAATTGATTTAATCAGGCAGTTGTCACCGTGCATCACACCGTGGACAGGACATCTGTGAATTACATTTATCAGTAGCACATGGGTCAAGTACGAAAATACCTCATGATTGTGAGGTAAGTGTTGGTAACTTCTAAATGTCAAGTTAGTTTGCTAACGAAAATGCTGCCCAGTGATAGCTCACATGCCATATTTATGTCCTATTATAAGGAAAAACTTAGTTGTAATTGTTGATCACTATTGACCTTTTAATGCAGCTGTTTCAAATAAAAATGCATTTTTTAAATCAGGTTTTTTTCAGTGATGTTTGTATATGGGGTCTTAACCTTATTTGGTGTGCAGTAAATGTGTTTGTTCAAGTAAATAACGGTAAGAGATTAACTTTGTAATGAAGATAACTTGAGTCATGGCTTGAGTTTTTCCTATCTTTAGTCCCATCCTTACACACAGATGTTTAGATCAACTATGGTGATGCTTTTGTTTTGACTGGGTGGCCTGTCGGCTTTGGTCTGCCAAAGCTCAAAATAATACAGCTTGTTAACTGTTAACAGTTCCTCCATAGTTCACAGGGAAATTCATAATGTAGTGATTCTCAGGCAGGGTGCCATGGTATCCTTTTAAAGGTGCTGCACAATATTAGCACCAATAGGTGTGCCAGGTACCTACCATGTGTGATTTTCAGGACAAACCCAGATATTTCAAGTAGGAACCCATAATGTCCAAAACATTCTGGCCTGTTGTGGTCTTTGAGTTCATTGCAACAGAAGAGTTCCTCTAGTATTTTTCCACAATCAAAAAATAAGTGAAAGATAAGTGGCATTTTTCAAGTGGAGTCTTGAAAGTTTAAAAGGTTTAAAACTACTGCCATAGTGACTTAGTTTACTGCAGTGCAAAGAACCATAGAATATGTCCCAGAAGCCTAGTTGCTACATGTGATTAGGTGGGATTACAGCGGGATAAATAGTTGTTGTGGGGGTGCTTTGCAAAAAACCCCAAAGTGGTTTACTCGGGTGTTAATTTTTTTTAGGAAAGCCATACTCTTAAGGCAGTATCTACACTTAAGACCTGATAATCAGTCACCCAGCCAGATGTTCAATCCGTTAATGCTGTGATGAAAGGAGGAATAAGCCATAAAGTTATTCCACAAAAATATATGTAATAACTTTGTGGTGCGTTACTATCACACCATTAATTAAATGATCAGTTGGTATGGTTAGGCTACAGCCCTGTGCCCTGCTGTGGTCACAAAACTCATGGGTCCCTTCCCTGCCCTCCTATGTATCACCTATGCCCCCACCCTCTCACACATCGCCTATGCCTTCCTCCACAGACCTTCAAGTAGGAGCCTGGCTGCATGCTCGTGACCCGCAATGTGGGTGTGTGCAAATGCATGTGGCCCCCTGCCTCTGATCACCCTCCTGCCCCTAAGCAGCCCCTTGCAGGCTAGAACTTTGCCAGCCTGCAAGGGGAAACCTATGGTTTCCTGGGTTTTTCTCCTTTTAAAGGAAAAAATCCAACTATAAGGTTAGTCCAATAAAATATATTATCAAACACAATTTTGCCCACCTCTAGAGTGGGGAAATAAATGAGTTGGGAGCATAGGTCCTGTTTTGGGAACTGGTTGTCGGGCATCTCTATGATAGGTCCTGTCCAATGATGCCATATAAGCATGGCTCAATGCTAGTGGTGTTTGCTTGAGCCAGAATGCTGGCATTCGCTGTTCTGTCCTTCTGGTTGACATGGAGGATTTTCTGCAGACATTACTGATGGTCACATTCCAAGGCTTTCAGGTGTTTCTGGTAAGTTGTCCAGGTTTTGCAGCCATACAACAGGGTATGATGACAACAGCCTGGTAAATGAGAAGTTTGGTTTGGGTTCTGATGTAATGATCATCAAAGACACAATTTTGGAGATGACCAAAGGCAGCGCTGGCAAATTTTATTTTGTGTTGAATATGTATGTTTATTAGTCGGGGGGGAAATGACTACACAGGTAGGGCAAATGCTTAATGTTCTCCAGAAACTAAACTCTTAATTGTAATATGTGCAGAAGCAGCTGGTTGGTTTGGGGTGGGTTGCTAAATGATCTTGGTTTTTGTGAAGTTGACGGTGAGTCCAAGCATTTCATAGAAGCAATTGAGAGTAATGTGAAGCTCTTCCATTGAATGGTCCCAGAGGATGAAATTGTCAGTGTACTACAGATCAGTAATGGAGGTATTGGGAGTCTTTCATTTGGAATATAACTGGTTGAAGTTAGAGATTCTCATCTGTGCAATTCTGGATGGTGACTCCAGATGGAAATCTGTCATCAATGAGCTATGGAATAACTGTGATACAGATTTGTAAAAAAGTGGTGGTGCAATCATTCATCCTTGCTTGGCTCCACTTCTGATGGTGAAGAAGTCTGTTTCCAAGCCATTGCTTAGGACAATTGCTGTCATGTTGTCGTGAAGAAGTCTGATGGTAACATTTTGGCAGGCATCTGAATCTGATCAAGATCTTCTGTAGGGCCTCTCTCTCAACCAAGATCTGTGTTGCTCATGGCACTTCTGCAGCTGTGTAGCAATAAAGATCATGTCTGTTATGCCTCCGAATGGTCTGAAACCATATTGGAACTCAGGTAGAAGCTCCTTGGCATGGGGAGCGAGTCTGTTGAGAATGTGGGTGAGGATCTCCCCAGCTATGGACAGGAGTGCAATGCCAGGGTAATTGCTGCAATCTGATCTATCTCCTTTCTTGAAGATTAGTTACAATTCTAGCATCTCTTAAATCTCGCTGGGAATCTGTTCATGTTTCCAGATTTTCAGAATAATGGCATGTACTGGGTGAGAGGAGAGGTTTTTTGTGGGGGGGAGTTTCTCCCACCAGCCTTACAGATTTCATCAGGACCACATGCTTTTTTGTTGCTTATTACCTGCTCAGCAGCTTTTAAAGCCTCTTGATAAGTTTGTACATCTGCAAGGTAGTCCTTAATGTCTTTGGTATTATCTTTGACACTAAAATCTCATTTCAAAAGCTCTTGAAAGTATTCCTTCTACTGTGTATTGATGGAGCTATCTTTTAAAGAGTGTTTGTTCCATCCTCAGACCTCACAGGAGTGGCTTCTAGTGTGTTTGGGCCATAGATAGCTTTGGTTGTGCTGAGAGAACTACACATAGCGTGGCTGCCAAGTAAACTTTTGTATCTTCTTTCTTTGTCCTCCTGCCACTTGTTCTTTTTGCTCTTGAATTTTCTTTTGGGTCTCTGCTTCAGTGTGATTTAAATGTCTTGCTTCTGTTTGGAATCGACATCTGCCAAGCTTTGAAGGCTCTCCTTTTTCTGTCAATAAGAGCTTGAATTTCCTCATCAGGGCTTGTTTGATGAACATGATGCTTTTTTGTGGAGAAGTCGAGATATTACTGTATGCCAGGGGTTGGTAACCTTTTAGAGTGGCAGGCTGCTGATTCCATCCACAGTGCCCAAGCCTCCTGCTGCCACCTCCATCATGCACCATCCATTACTGTTCCCAGTGGCATTGGGAAAGGGCCACATTCAGCAGTGTTGGAGGCAAGAGAGAGCAGCAAGGAAGGCTGTGGAGGAGAGGGATCAGTGGCATGGCACAAGAGTAGAGAAGGGGGATGCACCAGGCTGATCTGAAATACTGTGGAAATAAAGGGGTCTGTAGCTGTATTTAAAGGCTTTGACATTTATTTCTGTTCAGTCTACCCAGTTATAGTGCACGTGTTCTTAAAATACAGCCTTCTAGTGTTAAAAACTCAAAATGCTGGCAACATTTTTGTAGAACTTGAGTAGGCTCTTGATAATTAAGTCTTTTCAGCCAATTCATTTTTTTAATCTGAACTTTGATTAAATTATTTTATTCAATTATGGATGCATAAAATTATGAGATCTGAAAAGTGTGTTGTTGTTTAATACAATATAACAATTGTTAAATTCATGTTTTCTGTTGGTTTTCTTTTTTGAAAGGCTATCACCACTGTAACTAAGTACAAGCATTTCTGCCAGATGGATGACTGCGAAGAATTTCATACAAGAAAACTGCAGTCTACAAAGTAGGTGCAAATCTTCTTCTGCCTTTAGATGTGCTTGTTCACTTTCTATTAGAATGTGAAAGAGCAGACTTGATTAATCAAGTCTGTTCCACATTCTAATTATAACACTCTAGCGTTGCCTCAGTGTCATGTGTATTAAACTCCCACGTATTTAAAAATAGCTGTGGGACGCTAACTCGGGGCAGGCGATTATTTCGGCTGAAGGGCTGCTTAACAAATTTTGGTGAGTTGTCAAGGGCTGCAAGGATAGCCCTGCCCCTCGACTGGTGTCCTGCCCCCAGTCACTGTCTTGGTACTGGAAGTCCTGCCCTCGAACCCCTGACCTTTGCCACCAGAACCCCCTGCCCTTGCCCCGGAAGTGCTTCTTTTGGGAAGTGGGGTTTGCCATCTTGGAACCAGAGGGGAAAAAAAGTATATACTAAAAATCTAACATCCAGAATAATATTTTATTTTTAAAAGATTTTGCATCATGTATATATAGAGGTGATTGGATAACAGTTCAAAATGAAGACTTCCTCTTGTATATTGCAGGGGGTGGGTGGCTGGGCATGGGGTTTGTGGGGAGCTGTGGGTAGATGTGGGGTATGGGGTGGATGTGGCAGTATGTGTGAATGTGGGTGGGTATGAAGGGCTTATGGGGGTATGTTTTGTAGGGATGTGTGGGTGAGTATGGGGTTTGTGGGGTGGGTAGAGGGGGAGGCTGGCTAGGAGTGTGCAGGGGTGTTTGTGTGTGTGTGGTGGGGTGAGGTGGAGTGTGTGCAGGTAGTAGTGAGCAGGGCTCCCCCCTGAAACCCATGGATGGGTGTGGGAGTGTGGAGTTTGTGAGGAGTGTGATTTGTGTATGGGGGAGAGTGGGTTTGTGGGTGAGATGGGGTGTGCATGGGAGCGCCCCCCCCATGAGCAGATCGCCCGCCCCTACCCCGCAACAGCCCAAAGCCCAAGTGCCATGCAGCGCCTCCCCGCCACTGCCAACAGAGCACAGCCTAAGCCCCACCCCACACCTCCTCTGGACTGAACCCAGCAGAAGCAATCAGCCGGGTACAGGCACAGCCCTGACCCAGCCCCCGTGCCTGCGCTGCACCGCCCGCCTGTTGTGCATCCTGCTACCCCTGGGCATGCAGTGGGGCTGTGGTGGCTTCATGCAGGACTGCCTTTCTAGGCAGCTTCTGGCCCCAACCCCACAGTACTGGAAGGGAACTACGCGCAGCCCTGCCCTGCCCCGTGCCTGCTCATACTGAACAGCAGCAGCAGCAGCAGAGCTGGTGGGGCAGAAGTGTGCTTGGTGCAGGGGAAAAATGGCACTGTCCCTTCAGTGCTGCCCAGCGCTTCCTGCAGCAGCCGTGTGGATAACTTATTATGGTGGCAAACTGTGTCAACAAGTCACTTCTCCAGTCATGCAATTTGCAAATAAGCATAGAATGGTTCTTTTATCACAAAAGTGGAACTGATTTATTCAGTAAACTGCTTCTGGTTGAATAACTGTATTAAACTGAGTAGCTCTTAATTATGTGTACAGTATTTTTTTCAGCCCGTGTGTCAAATACTTTGAACTTTAACTACAATAATGCCTATGTTAGTGATGTGGTTGTTACCATAGATTTTTTTTGTTGGTCCTGTGTCTCCACTTGAAAGCATGTTTGTCCTACATAACATTATGTTTAGTAAGGGAGCTGTATCTTGGGGGGAGTTAGGAACTGTAAATAGTCATGTCCCACTGACCTTAAAATTTTAACCTCTGAAGGAAATGCCATCAAACATTGCAAGAGAGTGTTACCAAATCATACAGAAGAAAACTTTGTGTGTGTCGCTCACTAAAAAAAGAGGTGAATGTGGAAGGTAAGGGCTTGATTCTAATTATTTATCTTCAATTTGAAAAGTTTTGTCTAATACTTCCTAGATGCATTGTTGAACTCCAGAGGTAATCTGGGGTTCCAGAAGTTAAAGCAGTCTCTCTGTTCCAACCAGATCAAATCTGTCAATGGAGTGAATGCAAAGAAAAATTTTGTTAAAGGTCTTAAAGTGTTTATTGCAAGCAAATGAAGGATAATACAATAGATAACAAGAACATAATTAGATAATGTGTATCTTTGTAACCCAGTACTTGGTAATTTTAGATTTTAGGATTATTCTTTCTGTTGAATTTTAAGTTTAAAATCTTAAGAATCCTAACAGGTGGCCTGCGTCTTAGAGAAATCTTACCCAAGTTCTGGAGGCTGTTTTAAGAATAACTGCTTTGCGTGCATCTGTAGACATTAACCTCATCTTAGGACAATGCTTCCTTTTTATCTTGCTTGTCGCAATCTAAAACTTAAAGTTGCTAAATAAAAGTAGCACAGATATGGTAAAAGGTGCTTTAGGTCATCCTTCAGGGCGGTACAACTGCTGGGCAGCTGGGGGCCATGTGTTGTGTAGGCTGTGGACCCTGGGGCTGCACACTGTGTGAGCCACAGGCTCCCAGTTCCCTCCCTGTCCTGCAGCAGTCCAGCTCTTCTGCCTCCCTTGGCATGCAAGCAATGCATGCAGCCCAGCTCTCTCCCATCTCCCCAACTTCTAGCTTAACACTACCAGCCTGGGTCTTTTGGCCCTGGATGCAGGATGAGTAGTCTGGGTCTTATGGTTGCACAGCCAGCATGGACAATCTAGCCCCCCTCTTCCCGTGCTGGCAGTCTGGCTCTCCCTCTTGCTATGCATGCAATACCCTCCCGCTGACCCACTCCTCTGGAACAGGGGTGACGGGCAGGGGAGGAGAACAAGAACCAAAAGCCAGAGGAGGGAAGAGGAGCCCAGAAACCCCAGGTGCTACAGTAACTGGAACTGTGGAGGATTGGACTGCATGCAGCCTTCAAGCTACTAATTGGACAGCCCTGCTATAGTTAAACTAGCCTTAAACCATTAATGTAGATTTTGGTGCCCTAGAACTGACCTAACCTTATTCCTAACATTGATTTGCACACGAATGAGTTCTCTTGATGGCATTTCCCTTCCTGCCTTATGTTAACTTGGCTTTTGCTTAAATTTATCTACTTCTAATAAGCAACCTAAGGCCTACTAAAGGAGTACATGGTACAGAAGCTAATGGAGAATACACATTTCTTAAAGGTCTACAATCTGTGTAGCTAGTTACAGGCTTCAATTTTTGGAAGAGGGGTTATTGTTTGAGTTTCTTATTTCCGTTTGAGTTCTCCATCTATTTTGAGAATGCTTAGTATGTTCTGGGTTGGCTGTTAAGACGGGCAACAGCAGAAAAATACTTCTAAAAATAGTATTTTTCAGAAAGAATGTTGCTATTTACATTCTTGTCTAGGTTTTCAGCGTGTTAGTTGTACTATCCTACTTACATTATTTTTGACCAAATTAAACCCAATAGAAAATGACAGCGCATTTGATAAAAATGAGACACAAGAAAGTTAATGTGACAATTTTCTGAAAGCTGCTTGATAGCTCAGAAACATGGTTTTTGAGTGAATGCTCTGTACTAAAACATTCAAATTAGAGTTGTATTTTGAATTATAATTAAGGATTACTTCTTTACCTTTGCAAATATTTTAACATCAGTCTGTACATAATACAAACTGTTTGCTAAAGCAACAGCCTGTTGGCAGGTTCAGTCAGGATTTTTTTAATTAATATTATTATTAGCAGGGATTATGGCTTTCTCTGTTTCAAAATCCCAAATTCTCAGATTTAAAACAACCAAAATAAGCATTTTTCTGCTATTTTCATTTTTAAAAAAAATGCCACTATGTATAGGTGTATAAAATGGGTATGAGTTGAACACAGTGGTTTGTTGGTATATTTACAATTTTAAAGCAATTTGGAAACCTACCAGTTCCACAATCATTTATAATACAATAAATTCTAACTACCTATATATTTGTTTTGTTTTGGTTTTTGTATCATGGAAAATCAGAGCTCTCCCTGCCCCCTTTGCTCACCAGGACATGGGTACAGCTGCGGCAGTTCCCCTCCCCCCCCAGCTACTTTGTGGTGCTGAGCAGCCCTGATTAAGCTGGTGCCCTGCCTCTGGCCATGCTGGTGTCCCTCACTCCCAACCTGCAGCCCCCGTGCCCCCCATCCATGCTGGTTCCCTCATACCTGACCCACAGTCCCCTAACCCCTCTAGCCATGCCAGTGTCCCTGACTCCTGCCCTTCCACCCCATCGCAGCCCCAACACACACTCCTCTCCCTCCCCCCAGGTCCCAGATGGTACCCTGGCCCTCCAACTCCACATCCTGTCCCATAGACTTACCTATATCCAGCTGCTCCCACCACCCTGCCTAGCTATATGCCAGCCGCGTGTGTTGCTGCTAACCTTCAAGAGGAAACTTGCAGTTTCCTGTGTTTTTCTTCTTTAAAGGGGAAAATCTGTGTTTTCCCGTGGGAAACAGAAAACCCAGATCCCTGATTTATTACCATAAAAATAATAGATACTAAACAGACCTTCTCCATTCCATTATTGATCTTCAGAATATATTCAGTCACTATAAAATGTTTGTGTTCACCTTCTTAGCCTTAATTTTAAAACACACTCATTAATTTTGGAAAAAATGTCCAAAGGAAGAAAAAATAAATGGAAAGAGAGTTTTATATTATTACTTAATACATTATATAATTTATGGAAGGAATCCAGCTACATTGTGCAAGAATGGATTTTTCTTCTGTATTATAGCTATACAGTCCTTGTGTGGTGTTTTTTACTGCTTTTTTGTATTTTCTCTGGTTGTTTTGCCACAGGAGTGGGCAAAATACAGCCCGTGGACCAAATCTGGCCCACCAAGGGATTTTATCCAGCCTATGGCAGGTACCTTAGCTTGCCTGGCCCAGGCAAGAGGGGCAGCCTGGGCCATAGCTTGTGCCCCCAGGCTTGCAGCAGGCCTGGCCATTACAGTGGCCAGGCTCAGCTTCCTGGCAGCCCCAGCTCCTTTTAGCTGCTGTTGCCAGTGTCACTGCTGCTACTGAACCTAACCCTGCTGCCCTAGCAATCCTGCTCGTCTGCCCCACACCCACTGCCAGGAGTGCTGGATGGAGCTGGAGGGTGGGGTCTCCATGGAACCTGTTCAGGACCCCCATAGGCAGGGTGTGCTCAGCCAGGCGGATGGGAGGGGCCGCAGGTGGGCAGGAAGCAGCGTCCCAGAATGGGACAGGCGAGCAAGCATGGGATCATGGGGTAGTGACAGTGTGGGGCCTGGGCAGAGCTGTGATATGCTTCCCACACATCTCTGCCTGTGAAACAAGTGCCCATCAGAGAAACGTGCAGGGAGTAGGTCGCAGCTTCGCCTAGGCCCTGGCCCTGCACTGTCACTGTCCTACAATCCTGGATGCCACTCCCCACAGCCCCATCCCATCTGCCCAGCCTAGCACATCCTGCCCGTGGAGGTCCCAGGACAGTCTCCATGGAGATCCCTCCCCTCCCTCTCCAAAATTTGGGATTTTTTTTGATAAATTACTTTCTAGCTGGTTAATTGTGAACACTGTTTCATGTACTTGCTTTTTAGATTTGAAACAATGTTATCTTGGACATCTTGAAAGAGATGAAGACTGTGATCCACATGACAGCCCTTCAAAAAAAGTAATTCTATTTTTTTTTTAATAAAGAGATCCAGCTCACTAGAACACAATAATCTGTTTGGGAGGGATTAAAGCACCAATTTTATCCTCTCCCAGAGAGGACATTTCAGTATGTTTACTGCGGTTACCAACTTCAAAAGAATATGAAGAAACAACGTTTAGCTTTTCAAACCTAATCTGTGTGAAAACTGTGTAAGACAAGTTATGGACCCTTGAAGACAGACTCTGTGTTTGAGAAGTAATTTCAGTCTGCTATCAGTAAGCCGGTTTTTATTAATGCTAGAAATGCAACTGTGAGAGCTAACAAGTCTTCTGGCTCTGATAGCTGTTTCTCAAGAATGTACTGAGCCTTTTCATTAAGCATCTTCAGGCCAGGCACTTGCACATGATGGTCAGGGTAGGAATGAATTAAATGAAATTAATGAAAGCTTGTTAGGTCATGCTCAAGTCCATGCTGTTGATCAGTATGAGCTATTCAATGATTGTGAAATCATACTTGGATAGCAAACATGTGCTAAGTCATAGCAAACATGCACATGTGCTTAGCAAACCTATTCCACAGTGTTTTTACTGCTGCTGTTACCCATGCTAGCCAGACTAAACTAGTACAGGCTACAGTATCACCTTCATGCTGCTATATTCACTAAGACTCCTCACTTTAAGTCAGTTTGTTCCATATTTGATGGGCAGTGTAGGTCCTCAGTGGCTGTGAAAGCTTCTTCTCTTGTTTTTGTGCAATAGCACAAATCTTGGAGACAAATTGATGGCTTCTTGGCCTCTTTCAGATCAAGTGCCCTTAATTCTGTCTTCCAGACATACATCACAATAAAATTGAGACAGCCACTTCAACAGATGAGGATGTGTGTTATTCCCTGACACTTGCTGGGAGGGCAATATGGAAGTGCACAGGCAACCCAGGGAGTTTTTGGAGAGTGGTAGGGACAACTTCCTGGTGCAGGTGTTGGAGAAGCCAACTAGGAGACATGCTCTTCCTGACCTGCTGCTCACAAACAAGGAAGAATTGGTGGGGAATGTACCAGTGGATGGCAACTTGGGCAGCAGTGACCATGAGATGATTGAGTTTGGGATTCTGAGGAAAGAAAGGATGGAGAACAGCAGAGTAAGGACTGTGGACTTCAGAAAATCGGACTTTGGCCAGGATCCCATGGGAGGCTCCTCTGCAATAAAAGGAGTCCTGGAAAGTTGGTTGTATCTTAAAGAAACCTTACTGAGGGTGCAGGAATTAATCATCCCAATGCACAGAAAGACTAGCAAGTATGCCAGAAGACCAGCTTGGCTTGACGGGGTACTCTTCAGTGAGCTAAAACACAAAAAAGAAGCTTACAAGAAGTGGAAACTTTTACAGATAACTAGGGAGGAGCATAAGAGTATTGCTCAGTCATGCAGGGATGAAATCAAGAAGGCCAGATCACAGCTGGAGTTGCAGCTAGCAAGGGAAAGTGAAGGCTAACAAGAAGGGTTTCTACAAGTGTGTCAGTAACAAGAGAAAGGTCAGGGAAAGTGGGTCCCTTTCTGAATGTGGATTAAAGTCAGATGATGCAGGAAAGTCTGAAGTACTCAATGCCTTTTTCACCTCGGTCTTCACAAGAAAACTCCTTCTCATCATAGGTGCCACACTTAATGAGAGTTCTTGGTACCTTTGTTACTATCATGGTAGCATTTTAGGCTATTCTAATTTGGGTTTCATTCTTGGGTTTTTTTTGGTCAACATTTTCCTGGACCTTCTGTGAATGACTCCACCGTTCTTCTAAAGGCTTTGAGAGACCTTTTGGAGTCTGAAGGGCTGTGGCTGAAGCCTTGTGGTGAATCAAACTCAACATGAGCCAGCAGAAGCAAATACAGTTTCTATTTGTATATAAGACCTGGCAGGTGATAAACTGTGTTCTTCTCAGAGCTGGTTGAACCTCAGCTGAGTTAGTACATCCAGTTTTGGGCCCCACATTTTAAGAAGTTAGGTATTAGTCTGTGAATGACTCCACCGTTCTTCTTAAAATGTGGGGCCCACAACTGGAGGACTATACTATGTTCTAGTGTCTGTGAACATTCTAGTATCTTCTACCTACACTCACAAAAAGTCCACAGTGCTTCCACAGATGCCTCAGGAATGGAATGGGTTGAACATCTTCACTACATGAGCTCAGTTTTGCAATCCAGTCCATATAGTCACACATGGAATTGGTCCCCATTTCCACAAAAGGACAAGCCTCAAATCATCTACTGATTTTTAGATGCACTGTATTTTTTTTAAGGATACATGAGGCAATATTTTATTTTATTTGTGTAATATTGCAAATTGAAGTTTCATTATAATGAAGGCATAATAATATAAGGCATCTTCCCAGTTTCTTCAGAATGTTGGTCCTGCACTAAGTGCATAAAAATTGAACCTTGTTAAGCTACATCCCTAAACCCCTAAATGTGTTTGCTGTGTGCGTTGCTGTAGTGAATGCTGCTGGCTGCAAGTTCTTGAATTTACGTATCGGAAGGTGTCTTCTAAAGACAGAGATGCCACACATGGAACCATCGCTAATAACTGCAGTTAGTAAGGCAACCATTTCTTTGTAGGAGGTGATAGTATACAGTAAGCTTTTAATAACTGTCATTTATTGTATGTAAGTATATGTCAAAAGTGCTGTATACAGGTTCCTTGTTTAAAGATCTTATAACTTGAAAAAGTAGTCAGACACTTAAACTTACTTGAATACTGCAGAAACTTAAAGTTCTGTGGCAGCTCTTTTCACAGGACAATATAACCGTACAAGATATTGATGAAGCTTTGCAGCTGGCTGGTTGTAATCTTGAGCAGTTAAATACTGCAGAGAAGGTGAGGTTGATTCACTTTTTGAAATATTTCAAACTACATTTAATTCCAGTTCTGTTCTGATGAGTGACAGTCAGATTACTTAGTACGGTTTTTACAGAAAGATTTCTGTTTAATGGCTGAACTGCTGTTGTTTGTCTTGTTCTCATCCCTTCTAAGTCCTTTACTGCTCTTTGACTTCTGAAGGATTGTTACATATGTAAACAACTGAGCTCGTTTCGGGTTTTGCTGGCTGGCAGTAAAATCCAGCATCACTTCTCACTAGCAACTCAGTAGTTAGCATTGTTGATTTGTGCCTCCTAAATTTGAAGGTTCTTTAAGTAGTATTCTTCATTAATATTATGGGCACTATTTATCTAAATAAAAAACACAAAATGCAGATTACACAATCAAATTATGTATCTTTGCTCTCTCATTTCCTTTTTTGTAATTCAAGTTTAAACATATAAATACCATTTGTTAGAATGTTCTGTGAACTATTCTGTTAATTTATGTGCTACATGGGAACATAAATGAGTATACTCATGGACCCAGCTTATCTGTTGAAAATGCCTTATTCACTTCGTGTGGTGAATTGTTATTTCAGTACAAAGTACCTTTATTCTGATATAACTGCATTCATCTTGGCAGGGGAGCATCACTGAATATATTTGTAGAAGTGTTAAAGTTAGTATGCCGCAGAGAATGAAAGAGAGAATTACAAAGGACACCCTATTTTTGGGAGCCAGATTTTAGTACAGAATAGGAACCTACGTTGTACCATTATCTCCGAAACCAGTACTGTATTATTCTCCAAATTCTCTGATTTTAAAGTAGTTTTTAGTAACATGACATCTCTCCAGCAGTGCTCAACTATTAAATCTCTGTTGAAAAATTGTTAAAAGACCTCAATTTGGTATGCTTGCTCTACAGCGTGCAAGAGGACAATGGTTTACTTCAGGGGTCAGCAACCCCTGGCACGTGTGCTGAGCGTGGCATGCAAGGCCGTTTTGCTTGGTACGCCGCGGCCAGCCCCGGCTCTGGGAAGCTGCTGCCAGCGACAGAGCCCGGGCTGCTCTAAGCAGGGCTTGCAGCGTCCCAGCTTTGGGTGGAGGGCAAGGGGCAGTAGGGCTGGTGGGCAGAGGCTTTGGGTGTGGGGCCAGGTGCAGCAGGGCTGGGGGCCAGAGGCTCTGGGTGGGGGGGCAAGGGACAGTCGGGCTGGGGGCCAAGGGCGTTGGGTGGAGGGCAAGGGGCAGTAGGGCTGGGGGACAGAGGCTTTGGGTGGGGAGCAAGGAGCACAAGCAGGGCATCCTGCCATGTACCCCTTGCCCTCATTTTGTTTTTCTGCCATGCCGGCACTCCGGCACCTTCCGAGGTAGGCATTATGGTGTTTTTCAGCACTCCGGCCAAAAAATATTGCCTCCCCCTGGTTTACTTTATGATATGAATAAATGTATTTGGCATTCAGTTTTAGTATAGTTCTTCTTAACTGCATGGTATGAAATGTCATCAAGCATTTGCAGCAAGACCATACTTGGATATGAAAATAAAGTTGTGTGGGAACATTCTACACCAACTACCTAGCCCAAGAAAAGAACAGAGTTTGAAAACTTTTCCTGTAAGTAATCCAAAAGCACAGTCAACAAAATAGTGTTAACAGCAAAATTGGAAATATATCTTCAAATTTGCTGTGTGTATATATAATTCTTTTCTTCAAATTCAAGTGCGTGTGTGTATATACATACTAAAGTCTGGCTCCCAATAAGAGGGTGTTCTCTAATTCTCTCTTTCATTCTCTGCAGCATGCTAACTTTAACACTTCTACAGATATATGCGGTGATGCATCCCTGCTCCCCTGCTAAGGTGAATGAAGTTATATCAGAATAAAGGTACTTTGTGCTGAAACAACTATTCCCACACCAGGTGAATAAGGTATTTTCAACAGATAAGCTGGGTCAACCTTACAGGTTGATGCTATCTGAGTATACTCAAGTATGTTCCTGTGTAGCACATACAACCTACAAAGAAGCTTCTCTACCCTCTGCCAGCTGCTCTTCTTGATTTTTACCATCCTGTTTCAGATTCCTTCCTTTCTTTCTCTGCAGTCTTCTTTCATGTATCTCTGGGTCTTTTTCCTTTCTCGGTGTCTGAAATATCACCAGTTTTAGGTATTTTTTCATCTCCCATTCTTACCCTGTGACCTGTCCACTTCCTTTGAATTACATTATGCTGTTCTTTGCTTGATTCTCTCTTCTGTCTGTGTTTGTCTGTTTTGGCCAGAAAACTTGCAGGATTCAATATATAAAATATTCTACCTACTTTGTAGGTCAGCTTTCACATTATCACTATACTACCATGTGGTAGTCTTGATTTTACATTTCTGTTCAATAACTATTCTGTTCAGCTGCATAAGTGAAGATCTTGCCACTTGTATATAATTCTGGCTACCTTGGTCTCCTCCCATGTTTTTCTGGGTTGGTTTTTCTCTTTTGGTTTTCAGATACTCAAATTTGTCTACATCTTCTAAATGATATTACAAACAGTTGGTTTTGCTGTATCTACATTGTTTTTTTTTCAGTTTGTTTTCTTGACGTTTGATTACTAGTCCTACATGTTCCATGTTTGTTCAGGATCTTCACAGTGCTACTTGATTTGATCACATTTTTTATAGTATGGCACATAAACATTGCAGAGGCAGTGACGTCATTGTGTTTCTAATCATTGGTTTTGTGACTTTTTTTAAATAAATGCTGCTTATTTTGTGTAAATAAGTTAATATACATTTATTTATTAATGTTTTAAATGAAATAGATACTGGAATATTTGGAATCCAAGGCAAAGAAGGATGAAGGCAAGATTGCAGAAATTGTGGATAAAGAGTTTAGTAATCTAATTGCTTCCCTTCAATCAAGGTAATACTCTGTGTTTTTGTTTTCTAGACAAAGACTTAAAAATCATTTAACTGGTTTCACTTCTTCCTTAATATTTTAGATCCTTAATAACTTTATTTTGGTTTTACTATGAACAGAACTTCAAAATGTATTTTCACTACTAAGAGAGAAGTTATTCATTTTATTTATGTCTACTTGTTATTTTTCTAAGAATAAATTTCAGATATTTCTATTGTTTCTGTTAAAACAGTTACAAGACAAAACAGTACAAGAAGGAAAGCCCCCAGTCTGAAATCTGCACCTGACTGTAAATAACTCCTTAAAACCCAAAAACAGGGATGATCTCAGCAGGCTTCTCTTTTAACCTTTAATAATTGTATTTTTTATACTTGAATGGTCGGGGGGGGGGGTGCTGAAGGAGTCTTTCAAAAAATAGCAGAAGAAGCTTACTTCCACACTTTCTTGTACACCATATGACCTCAAATAAGATGCATACCTTATTTAAGACAGCAGAATGAAGAAAAAAAGCTTTTTCCAGTCAGCTGAATTGTGACTACAGGGGTCCTGACATTGCAGCCAGTGCTGCTCTAGCAAAACTAAGGTGTTAGCCCTCAGTCATTGGTGAACTAGCAGCAGCTCAGTTAAACTGCTAATTTGGCAGTGGCTCTGTAAGGGTTAACATTGAAGCTCTGACTTTGACTTTGAAGGGTGAGCTCTCTTCCTTCCCTCCCTGAGTCTGGTAGGTGGAGAAAATTAGTTTTCCTGCTTGACACATGCCCTAATTTGGAGAAATATTTTTGGGGAAAGGTGCATGTGGTATGTGAGTAAATACAGTAAATTTTAAAGTTGTATCTCAATTTTCAGTCCTCTATTGAAGTATGTGGGAATTGAATTTTGAAAATTGAAAGAATTTTAAAAACCTAAGAAAAAGCATAGACCAGTAAGTACACTGTCTGTAACAAAAGTGTGTTTGTTCATACCCAGAAAACAAATATTTTTACCTGCTTTAAAAGGGAAGGGAGAACTGGTGCTTGGGAATGAAAGTAGGGCTGCAAGGGACCTCAAGGAGGTCATCTAATCCAGCCCCCTGCTCAAGGGAGCTCTCACTTGATCATCCCAGCCAAGTGTCTATCCAAACTGCTTTTGAAATTTCTAAGGATAGTGATTCCACAGTTTCTCTAGGTAGTCTGTTCTGGTGCTTGACCACCCTAGTTGGAAAGTTCTTCCTAATCTTCAACCTAAATTTCCTCTGCTGCAGTTTGAGGCCATTTGTTCTAGTTAGACAGGACTTAGATGGCCTCAATCTAGGCCATCTCATTTGCTGCAGTTTGAGGCCATCTGGTCCTGTCCCCTGTGGCCCCAGAGAATGGTCTACATCCCTTCTTTTTATAACTGTCCTTCAGGTATTTGAATCCAGTTATCAAATTCCTCCCTCAATCTTATCTTTTCCAGACCAAAACATCTTAGTTCTTTCAGCCTTTCTTCACAAATACCTAGCTAGCTGTGACATGGTTCTATTAAAATGTTGTGGTTTTGAGGGTGGGGGTTAGTTTTAGTTTGGTCTGTACTGTTACATTATCTGTTGAATTCTGAAAAATAATCTGGATAATTGATATATTTCTAGGAAAAAGCACTTGCATGCAGAATTAGAGGAGAATACAGACAGTTACGTATCTGATGTCTTGAAGGTTAAGCAGCACATTGAAGAGAAGAAAAACAAATTGATTGGAGTGATGAGGATAGCAGAGGAGTTAAAAACTACACCTTCACTCAGAACCTGTTGTGATTTGAATCAGGTAGCTATAACATTGTTATGATTAATCCACTCAAATGCTTTCCAGATCACCAGTGTTTAAAGATTGAGATGTTTTACAATAAATTATTTAAAATCATTGAATTTTGAAAAGGAACCCTGAGATCTAGTTGAAGCCTCCTCATTGAGGCAGGATGAAATATGTTTAGACCCTGTTTGTCTAACCTGTTCTTAGAAACCTCCAGTAAAGAAGATTCCAGAACATCCAAACATAGTAAAACATCAGAAATGGCTATACTAAACCAGTGGTGCTCAACCTCCAGCCCACAGGCCAAATCTAGCCCATGGGGCCATACCTGTGGGGAGCCCCGCAAGCCAGATGACACTGTCCCACATTGGATCCAGCATAGAGTCAGCCCACATACCAACTCTGCCCACAGGAACCAGCCCAGAGGCTGGCCCCACATCACTCATCCTACCAATAGGGCCAGAAGGTTGAGCACCACTATACTAACAGCTAAAAAGTGAGGGTAAGTGGGCATGGGGTTGTACAATAGGCTAGTAATATCTCTTTATGGTTGCATTCTGAGGTTGCGTACAAGTATTAGGCACCTTAACCAAGCTTCAGACGATCTAAGTGGCTGGGGGTGCAAGCATGCAGGAGGCTTAAGTCACCTTAAAAAATGGTACTACCAATCTAAAGTTAGTTTTCATCTGATAAGAATTACATTTTAGATTGGCATGGGTTGACCCAACCTAACATGGGTTACCTTCTCCCCCTGACTCTTCACCCCCCCCCCATCAACAGCACTCATAGCTAGTCCGCCATGCTGCATGAGGCACCTGCTCTAGCCAGTCTGGGACCTGTGCTACACGTAGCGCCTATGGGCTCCATGCGTGGCACAGTTCCTGGTGCTGCTGGAACAGGTGCTCACACATGTACACACCCCAGGCCCTATCCATAGGGTCAGTCTAGGTCCATGCAACCTAGGGGAGGCACCAGGGGCTGGATAATGGGGCTTTGGGGGCCAAATTTGGCCTGTCAGCCACATGTTTGACACCCCTGTCCTGTACAGTTCCTTCCTGCTAGACTAAGTCACAGTTGCAAACGTTTTATAAATTGCCTACTTACAATTATGGTTGAGGAGAATCAGGTGGCTTCTAAAAGATCTTGAACATGTGATGATGCAATAGAAGCTAAAAATGCACTTTCTAATTTCAGGTTATTTACAGTTTAAAGCTTACAGTTGAGAATGAGCTCTCAAGCGTGGATACTTTGAAGGAAAAAACACCTCTAACGTAAGTTAGAAAAACCTGAGGTACACTGAAAGGTAGAAATTGTGTGTTGCAATATAGACATATAACAAAAGAAATCACGGTTACTAATAAGAAAACCTATCACTACAAACTTGAGTAACTCGTATTGTTTGTGGTTGATGTAAAATATACACAGTCATTTAACTTCTTTCTTTGACAGGATAAAAATGGCCTATTGAATTAGAGGAAGAACTTGATGTATAGTACTATACTAATGCTTATGCAGTCATAAGTAGACTAGGAAAATACAGTCTAGACATATTTGCCAGAAGATGAATGAACAATTGGCTTAAAGTTTCAAAGAGTAGTTAACAACGATTCACTGCCAAACTGCCTTCCAATTTCAAGTCTACAGGGATCTATCCTGAACTGTTTTCTAGTTGATATTTTCATTTATACAATTTGCAGATGGATAGTAACAAATAACACTTAAGGGTATGGTTGTAATAGCAGAGTTTCTCCTTTTTTTATTTCTTTCCTTGTCCCTGTCACTCTCGTTGTTTAAAACAATGTTCTGTAAAATGTTGTCAATATACTCTCAGGAGGTCCTGGGTAGAGGGCCACACCTGCTAGAGGAAGGCAAAAACATTCCTTCCTAACCTCAAATATAGCAGTCAGTCTGACCCAGAGCAGAGGGGCAAGGCCCTCTAGCCAGGAACCTCTGTGCTCCTTCTAGCAGGAGCATTGGCACATCCCAGTTGAGGTCCCCAGCCTTGGCTGTAGGCAATACCCAATGCTTCTGGGAAGGCTTAAAATCTGGGGGTCCACCGATTTTTAAAGATTTTTTTTTGGACTGATACCAATGGCTGATTCTTAACCGGCCATGTTGGCTGATACTGATCCAATATGCAGCACGGCAGCTTGGAGAGCAGCATCCAGCTGTTAAGTCGAGGGATGTGGGGGGTGGGGGCAGATCAAGGCCACCATGGTGAAGGAGGGAGTGGGGCAGAGGCAGGGTGTAGAAGAGAGAAACAGGTGTTTTGTCCACTGGGGTAGGGAGAGGGATGGCCCCCACCACTGCATGCACTCAAGGGGAGACATGGGGGGCATGTGCCCCCCTGGATTTGTGCACTGGGCGAGGGCAGGCTCGGAGCCAGGGCCTGATCTGGCCTCTTCCAAGTGGGGGAGCTGGTCCAGGGCTGTGCTTAAGGGTGAGTGGGGGTGGGGTGGGCGGTGGCAGCACTGGGGCAGGGAGATGTTGTGGGGTACAGCTATCCCAAAATTTGCCATGGCCACTCTGTAGTGCCCCGCCCCCCCCCAGCACTGCTGCTGCCTGCTCCACCCCCACGGGGAAGAGGCCAGCGCAGCCCCTGAGCCTGCAGCTGGCTGCCTGCTCTCACCCTGTGCATAAATCCAAAGGGGCACATGGTCCCCATGCCTCCTTTGGGGCTTCATGCAGTGGTGGAAGGCTTAGTGCTGCAGCTGCTGGGAGCCCCGTGCCAGCCACACTGCCATGGGGAGGCACCCCTGCCCGCCTGGCAGCAGCAAAGGGGGCACAACTCCACATTGCCATCGCTACCTACTGCTGCTGGCTACCACTCCTCCCCACCCCTCTCCTCTAGAAGAGCCACCCACCACTCCATCCCACACCCTGCCCTGGCTGGGCAGCCCTGCCCCACTCCTTCCCTCACCATGGGGATCTTGATCTGCTTTCCCCTCTTCCCCCCCCCCCCCCACTTAGCAGCTGGATGCTGCTCTCCAAGTTTCTGGGCTGCATTTTTGGCTATGTGCATGGCGGCTGCACACATGCACATAGCATTTATCAGTGACATTATTGCCTACACCAGCCAAAAAAAGCTGATTGCCGATAATGTCAATTTTCTTCTTATCAGTGCTGATCTGATATGGACTGATATATCGGTGCACCTGTATTAAAAACACCCTGACACGCAGCAGAAAAATGTGTCAGGGAGGGGAGCAATTAATAAAGCCTGAAAGTATGGGAAATACCCTTGGTAGAAAGTTAGACATAGCCATACCTTGATTATTCCCTGATCAGTGGCTGTCCAACCTCATCTTGAACACCTGCAGTGATGCAGTCTACAACATCTGTAGGCAGTCTAGTCCACTGCCTTTATATTCTAACAGCGAAGAAACTTTTCTGGATATCCATTCTAAATTTACTTTGCTGCATCTTCCTCTCTGCAGCAAGAGAAAAAAGGTGCTTTTCCTCTTCTTTATGGCAGCCCTTCATGTATTTGAAGATTACTATCATGTCCCTTCATAAACACCTTTTCCACCAGCTGAGCATGCCTTGCTCCTTCAAACTCTCCTCGTATGACTTCCGTTCCAAGCAGCGTTCCCTCTAAGCTGCACGGCCACGCACGCCACACAGCTTAGAGGGAACGCTGGTTGAAAGCCATTGATCATTTTTGTTGCCCACCTCTGGACCCTCTCTAACTTTTCCACGTCTTTTTAAAGATGTGGAGCCCAAAACTACACACAGTACTCCAGATGAGGCCTAACCAGTGCCAGACACTATCATCTCACATGTCCTGCACTTAATGCTTCTGTGTACGCATCCCAAAATCACACTCCACCTTTTATGCGGCTGCATCATGCTGCAGACTCGTATTGAGTCTGTGGTCTACCTTTTCCATAGAGCTGCCATTCAGCTAGCTGTCCCACGTTTAGTATTTGGTGTTTTGATTATTGATCCTGAGTTGTAACACCTTGCATTTGTCCACTTTAAACTTCATCCTGTTAAACTGGAAAGCTGGGCTAGAGCTGTCAAGATCCTTCTGAATTGCATTCACATTCTTCAACATGTTCACAATTCTTTCCAGTTTCACGTCATCTGCAAACATGCTCAAGAAGCTGTCTCTGCCAGTATTCAAATTGTTAATAAGCATGTTGAACAGCACTGGACCCAGGATGGACCCCTGTGGGAACTCCACTTAAAACCTTCTGCTAGTCTAATGTGGATCCATTAATAATTACCCTTTGCTTGAGGCTGCTGAGCCAGTTATCTCTCTACCTTGTAGTATTTTTATATAACCGATGTTTCTCCAATTTGTTTATGAGAAGGTTGTGTGGGACCTTGTCAAAAGTAAGTCAAGATGCACTATATCCACAGCACTTCCTTCATCCACACAAGTAATGTATGAGTCTAGTTTTAAGTCAGTACAGCTTTAGATCTCAGTTCTATGAACTGACTTTTATTTTGATGTTAGAAATACTTATTTATGTTTGTTAGTCTATTTCTCAGACTGATTCTTATCATAGGGGCTCCTGGCTTTCTCTGTTTAAAAAAATCCAGAATTCTCTGATTTTAAAACAGTATCTGCATTTTTCTGCAATTATAATGAAACACCACTGTGCGCGTGTGTGCGTGCGTGCGTGCGAGAGTTGAGCACAATGTTTTATTGACATTTGCAGTTTGGAAGCCTACGTGTGCTTCAATCATTATAATAAAATTAATTCAAAATACCTATATATTTCAGTACTAGATTTTGATTTTTTTCTATGATTAAAAAAAAAAATCAGAGCTCCCACTTCGCTCACCAGGACACGGGTCCAGCTGTGGCTGCTCCCCCTCTGTGTCTGCTTCGTGGTGCTAAGCAGTCCTGATACACTGGTCCTTGCCCTTACCCGTGCTGTTGCCCCTCACTTTTGGTTCACAGCTTCCCATCCTTGCTACTGCCTCTCACTCCAAACCCCACTAACCCTGCTGGTGCCCCTCACTCTCGATTCACAGCCTCCTGTCCACCCCCTCCCCCTGCCAGAGAGGGCCCCCAACTGCCAAGGCTAGGGGACCCAGCAGCTGCATCCTCCCTGCTCCACGGGCGCCAGCAGCACCCCAGCTGCCATGCACAGGTGGCAGCAATTGCTGGGGTGGAGTGTGGAGCCCTTGCCCTCTTTCTCTCCCCCCCCCCCCCCCCCCCCGTGGCACGCTCAGAGAGGAGTCAATCAGAGCCCTGGGGGGAGCAGGAGAGAATGCAGGCTGCCTGCTGTGGGACTCCCCACCCTGCTGCCCTCCACCTAGAGGCCTCTGTGGTCCAGTGGGCAGGACCCAGCGCAAGAGGGCAAAGCAGGGTGGGAAGACTCATTGCTGCCACTGGGATCCCCACATCAGCTGCTCTGCCATGGTGAGATGCCCCCTGCCTACCCAGCAGCAGTGGGCATGGCGATGGCAGTGTGGAGTTGTGCCCCCTTTGCTGCTGCCAGGCGGGCGGGGGTGCCTCCCCATGGCAGTGTGGCTGGCACGGGGCTCCAGCAGCAGCAGCACCAAGCCTCCCAACCCCACTTCTCCCTCCCATGCTGGGTTCCACCCACTGGACCATGGAGGCAGCCAGGCTGCAGCTCTACATTCTGCTGTGGGTCCACAAATCGGGGGGGGGGGGCATGTGTCCCCTCCCCCCTCACATAACCCCTCCAACATGTTGCCTCTGGCATTCACACTCCAAATGGGAGTGTGCGCAGTGGCGAAGAGCCAACCCCTTCCCCCCCTAACCCTTTGAGCCACCCAAGGCTCTATCCTGCTCTCCAGATGGGCCTTGCAGCTGCATATTCCCACGTAGGCCCCGAGCACTGCCCCGGCTGGGTAGTGCCCTCAGCCATCATCCCTCACTTTCAAAGCTTTCTCACTTGCATTGAAGAGCTCTATCTAACTCAAGAAGTCTACGAGTTGACCAGGGGCAAGGCACTCCTATACTTGGTTCTGGCCAAAGGGGACAATCTAGTGAGCAACCTGAGGATCAAAGGGAAACTGGGTGACAGTGACCATAAGATGATCACTTTCTCCATCCACCGTAAGTCAGGGAAATCAGACAGCAAGATAGAAATCCTTGATTTTAGGAAAACTGACTTCCACAAGCTTAGGAGATTGGCTGACGAAGCCCTGTGGGACCCTGGTCTGATGAGGAAAGGAGTACAAGAAGAGTGGTTGTTCCTCAAGGAAGCGATCTTAGGAGCACAAAGGAAGTCCATTCTGTTTCATAAGAAAAACAGTAAAAGGGCTGGGAGACC